ATAATTATTATGTCTATGTGTAAAGGCAAGTTTTTGTGAGGGTTTGCGTGGCTATGTTTGTTCAAGCCTTACAAGATATTTATTTAACAAATTCACTCAAAATTATACTACATTAATCAAAGTTCATTCGGAGATTTTGTAGAGGAACACGAGCCGTAATTATATCAATATTAGACCACTTTGATCCAAACCCTCCCATGATGCAGAGGATGATGAGGGACCGAGAAAGAACACAGGATTCCTAATTACATAATAGTTAAACCCACTTCAGTCCAAGTTCTCTTCTGGTTTCAAAATTTTAATCAAACCTAATAAAATCATAAAATTATTGATTATTACTAAACAAAGCTATTTGTTTTTGGATTAATATAAATATTCGGACTAACTTATTTATACTTTAATTAATCTCATGAAGTTTAAAATTAATAATTATATAAATTTATAATGATTATCATAATAAAAATAACAAGGAACTCCAATAATAATAAAGCTTTTGATGGTGGTGATAATGGTACGTGTAGGTTGCAACGTGATTATCATGGCATGATGGTTGATGATGAAACGTTGGAAGTCACTACTCATGTTTCATGATCCAGTGGAGGTTGTTGGAGGTGTTGCCTATGGCTGACGGCGTAAAAGAAGTTGCTAGTGGTTTGTTGGCGGCCGACTCATGACTGAACATGGAGACAATGAAAGAAAAAGAGTGGAGTTTTGCTGTTAAAAATTGTTTTTATAGAATTTTGAATTTTTTATATATTTGAAATAATTTTTTTAAATTTTTATTACAAAGTCAAACAAATATAAAAAAATAAAATACATCAAACAATTTCCCAAAGATCATTGGTGCGAAGTTTGTAGCCCAAATACTAATGATATTTTTACCAATGATAAAAAAAATTCGTATATTTCTGCTTTTTATATAGTTAGGAAAGAAAACTTGTAAAATTTTGCCTTCATCGACGAACAAAATGAAATGTTTAGTTTATACTTTCTTCCAATTCATTTGATTGAAAAGGAAATAAGATAAAATTTTATTGATAAAATGTTTAGTTGGAATTGGGCTTTTTATTTATATAATTATCATCATTTTTAATTCAAGACACAAGTTTTATAGACTAATTAAAATTAAAATTGATTAAAATTAATTTAATATATTATTAATTTAATATTTTTTAAAAAATATATCTTAATATTTAAAAAAAAAACATCAACGAGTTCGTATCAAATTTTAGATTCATAACTAATTATTTTTCCAACATTCTTAATATTATCTTTATATTTTTGTGGCAGTTAGAAAAAAGTAATTCAATTTAAAATATGTTGCAAGCTACAAATCCAGGAATTAACCATGTCATCTATCAATTAAGTTAAAATTTATTTAAAAATGTAATTTTGATTATTTTTAAAATAATTTTTCATATGAAAATATATGTTAATATTTTTTTTATTTTTTAAAAATTATTTTTGATATTAATACATTAAAATGATTTTAAAAAACTAAAAATATATTAATTTATAATAAAAAAAATAAAAATACTTTTAAAATGCATAAATAAATAGTTAAAACACAAGAAACGGGAAAAAAATATAGTGATATATATTCGATAATATATAAATTGTAGATGATTTTTGTTTATATATCGTGTATTTACTGACTGTAAAGTTACAGGGAATACATGATGCGGGAAACCAAGTTCATTTAACAATTTCCTGATAGGATGACCTTAGACCAGGGAAAGCTGGGGAGAAAACAAGTAAAGCTAAGTTTGGAATTGATCTATTAGTAAATATATAAGTTTTAGGGATTAATTTGTAGTTATGCCAAAGGTAAATTAATGGCATAGATCAGAGAACTGGCAGAAGTCTTCGTTGGTGGGTCCAACGCAATCTATCCCTTGCCGCTCAGGATCCCAGGTGTCCCTGTTAAGCAAAAAGTCACTGCTATCTATTATGTGGATTTCATCATGTACTAGTTGTTTTTTTTATAAATATTTTTACAGTAATATTTTTTATTTTTAAAAAATATTTTTTGTATCAATAAATAAAAAAAATTCAAAACATGAAATAAAAAAATTCAAAACTTTTAAAAACACGCGGCTAATCATGTTTTTAAACGTTTTTCTAGGTGAAATCAAAATCTTTTACCATTATAACTAGATTTGAATTTGTTTCTAAAAAAACAATAACTATTGGTTAAAAAAACACTACAAGAATAGTACAGTTTTATACATAATTGTGGTTGTTATAAACTTTATATCTTATTCAAATTAATTAATATGTATAAAAATCAAATTGAAATTTTATAAAAACTTAATAATCAAATTAAAAAAATTAACATCACTAGAGAGAGAATAAGAAAAAAAAAAGAAGAAATAATGGGTTATTAAGGTTTTGTTTTCAACATACTTTATATCGTTAAAAATATTTTGATGAAAATATTTTAGCCAAACATTGAAATATTACCAAATAAAATTATAATTGGTTAGGTGTTTTGTTCGAATTACTTATAACCTTGTTTGGTTATTTTCCAAGTTGTAGTTAGAATTTTCTAATCAAGATTTTTATAACGATATCAAATATGTAAAAACTAGAGTTTTGATGTGTTCCGAGCAATCCATTATTTTTTCCTTTTTTTTCTTTATTTATTTCTCTCTCTTGCCATATCAACTTATCTTTTCTATCTTTTTTAGCCATTGGATATTAAATATTATATTTTAGCTATGGAATCTTTATAAAATTTTGAGCTGATTTCTATTTATAGTAATTAATTTGCACAAAACATATATTTAGGTGTTGATTAAATAGTTGTTATTGTGAATAGTGATTTAAATAAAATTAATATTCATAAACTTCATTGTGTTTAAATTATGTTATTTCCCAAATATCTTTTCCAACATGCCATCCTCTAATTTTTTTTATCAAATTATGTTATTTTTTCAAAAAGAGAGTTAATTTACTTATTTGTCAACTCAAAATTCAATATGAAATGGATTATTGCAAAATCTTAATTTTTTTAAATAATATCATTTTACAAGTTTTTTTAAATATCAAGTTGATCCTAGTCAATTTCATTGACCTTGATCAATTTGGTTGAACTATGGCTAGTGTCACATGATTAAATTTTTCATATTGAAAAATTCAACTCAATACAGCAATTTAATCCCAACTAGGCTAAGTCTTGCCTCATTTTTTCACTCGTGTTTTTCTACAATTACATGTTTCGTTCATTTAAAGAGATTCTCACAATTGCCTCGTCGTAAATAAACATCAAACACAAGCAAATACACTGAATTTTACAAGAATACTTCTCAACCTTTATTTATCTTATCAACAAAGGATTACATAATAAAAGTATGTGTGCTATGCACATAAAACACATGCTCCACAATAAAGGCTTTGCAACCTATTTATAGACAAATATGTGAACTGCAAAACTCACCCATGATCCCCTATTTTTTAGTATATAGTAAGGCATTTTCTTCCCATGATCTTTATGATCTTAGTGGCCTATTTTTCTAGCAATTGATGAGGCAGTTACCTTTCATAATCCCATGATCTCAGGAGCTTGGAGAGCATCCTAGTTATATTCCCACGTTCTACCCCCATTATGCTATCACTTCACCCATGTTTTGTTCCCATAATGTTGTCACTTCACTCACGTTTTGGCTATTTACATGGCAGTCCAAGCTGCTAGTTTTTATTGCGTCAGCTGCAGACTTAGAAGGTCCATTATCTAAGCCCTCATGTTTATGCCAAGTCGCAAGTTCAAAAACTCACATAGACTATCACACGTTGCTTGCTGAATTCGTCTTTACCTATGCAAAGGTGTTGTTGTTTATTGCTGTCAAATTCTACACAATGTGTTTTTATTAGCATGTCCCCATGTATAGAGCTCTAACAGCTCGGGTCCTAAACTAGGTGGACTTTCAAGTTGAATCTTGTAACTATAATGCATTAAAAAAAAAACTCGATGTTTTCTTAAAATAAAATTACATCAAAAGGATTCCATATCTCTATTTTTTTTTACTTGCATGTTTATTTTTTAGAAATAATTACAAAACTCTTTTATAATTTAATTTGAATTTTATTTTCTCCTTATACTTTCATAAATTAAGCATTACATCACGGGCCAAACAAAAGATTTAAATAAAATACAATATTGATGATATAATCTATTATTAAACATGTAAACTACACGGTGAGAAATGCATTTTATAAAAATACAAAGGAAAACTGAAATTCAGACCAAACCGATACGAGGGATTTTGTAATTATCTTTTTTTCATTAAATGTCTTAATTTTTATTTTTCTCTTCAAGCAATTACCTCTCTATTTTTTTCAATTGTCTTTTCTAGAGCTCGTTAAACTGTTGATGACGTGTCCATTAAATAAACAAATTATCCTTGTATGGAATTCATTATTCATAAACAAGAAAAACAAAGAGGAAAAAACGGCAATTAAGATTCGAAAAGAAAAGAAAAGAAATATCTAGCAATAAAGAAGTAAATCCTCCCATAGTAGGAAAATTCCACACCTTTCTTCTTTTCATGGGTTATCACATAATCATAAAACACAATAAAAAAATAAAAAGATGAAATAAATTGATGTCATGTTTTAGGAGGAGAAGCTGGGTGAGAAATTTTCCTCCCAATACAAGTTTACATCTTTATTCCTTCTCATTTTGTTTTATTTTCAAAATTTAATTTTAATTTTTTAATTCCATAATAAAGATTACACATATCTTCCCAATAACCACATTAATAGCAATATAATATAATAGATTCTTAAACAGAAAGATAAATACAGAGACATCTAATTAAAAAATAGAGTGTAGGCACTAAAATAGAAAACATAAAAATATAGACACTAGGTTAGAAAAATGGTGCATATAAAAGCACCAAATTTACTTCTACAAAGTATGAAAAAGCACAAGGAAAAAAAGAAAAAAGAAAAACAAAATCTCCTTCCCCTGGCCACAAAAATTCCCACTTATTTATTTAGAGCTATATAAGAAGAAAGCCTTATAGCATCCAATAGAGAAAAAACCCATGGCATCTGTAAGCTCTCCACTTCACCCTCCAGTATTTTCTCTCTCTCCTTCTCCTCCTGCTGCAAGATGTAAACTTCCCAGCAAAGTTCGCACTGTACAAAGAACTTCACCAAGTCCCCATGAAACTCGAACTGGACGTGACAGTTCTTATACACGCCATCGACAGAGAAATGTTGTGTTGAGGTCAGCTCTTGATGAAATTAATGTTCTGGACCCACCTCCGTCTTCGTCATATGAAGAGGGAAAATCTGAACCCATTGCTTCACTGAAACTCAAATTGCTGGTAATTGTAATTTACTTTTTTTTTTTTTTATCTAGTTACCTACTCGATTCTGCCAACTGGGTGCTTCTTGTTTTCGTGGTTTCAATCTTATGTGACTAATAGTTAATGGCCAACGTCGATGTTAGTGATCTTGATTATGGTTCAATTACTTGCTCTTCGGTATCTATGGCTTTATACTTAATTGGGTTCTTTAATTTTTAGATTCAGATGCTCTGTACTGGTCCTGGGGTGAGTGAAAGCTTGCTGTTGATTTTTTTTTTCTTGGGGAACATAGGTTAAATTCTCTCGCTTTTTTTGTTCGATAGATAATGGCTATCTTTTTAGCATCTTACGCTTTGACCGAGACTAAGTCACCCTTCAAGGACATTTTAAAAATGCACCCTTCATATTGGTCTATGTGCTGCCCTTAGACTTGAAACCAGAAAGTCAATGAAAGGAACAAACCTCGTTAACAGCAAGGCCAATTCTTCAGTCACAATCAAATCATGGATGCGTGCTTAATATGGTTAGTTTTGTGTTTAGCTGTACAAGTAACTGTGACGAGGGAAGTGGGGGCGATGCTTATTGATCGGTGTTTAATGCGTTCTTGGTGGTTTAAATTGATAGGATTGTGTACATTTCTGTAATTAGGACCACATCACAGTCAGTGGTGTTTGATTAAATTGACTTCCTACCACAAGAACCAGTAACAATTACATCCACCATGTATGTATTTTGCTACCTTTGTTCTCTCAGGAATCTAGAACATACAAGCATAACCTCACTTGTACTTTCATGGTGTAAATGAGATAGAACAGGAATTGTAATTTTTTTCTGACTGAAATGTATGTGAACGCTTAGTATGGGTTTTAGTTGTATAGATGGTGGTCGTGTCGAGGGAAGTGGCAACAAATATGTGGACTCATGCCTGCTTCTTCTGTATATTGGATAATATAAAATATTCTTGGCATCTATCAATCCTTTTGTTTCTGGTAGTGGAAAGTCATATTATTGTGTTGTATTTAGTAGCTAGTCACACCTCACAATCAATAGCATATGATATAATCAAACTTTCTACCTCCAGGAGAACTGTTAATGCTCGCTTCCTTTCTGAATGGAAATTGCTATCGCTGTTCTCTATAAATTAAGAATACAAGTACACAAATGAGTGGCCTACTCTGCAAAAATGAGTTAGAAAAAGAAAAGTTCTTAAACAAGTCTCTTCTGAAGTTAAAAGAATCACAAAAACTGGAACTTTCACATGTGCAGACTTGATTCTTAGAGAACGATGACAGTGCTTTCATGGAAGAGTGGGTTTGAAATGCTAAGGAAACATATTATGAGGAATGCCTGTTTTTTTTTTTTTAAATCTGAAGTAATATTTCTAGTATAAAATGATGTCAAAAATATTTTCCTAGGAGGTGGAGTCAAGGGAAAACATGATTAATTTTAAAACTTCCACTTAATTCTCACAGCTGTAAATTTAGATGCATATGTTTGTTCAGTTGTAATTTTTTTCACCACCTTTCTTTTGTATTGTTCCACTTAATTAGGTTCACTAATTTCAATTTTAGATGCATGGTGCATTCCCTATGAATGTATTGTTCTTGTAGTAAAATGTATGTTGTTTAGGTTTTGATCGAAAAACATTAGTGCATAACTCTCATAATGGTTAATTGAGACGTGGTTAAAGCAAAACTTGGTTATTAACCGTGTTAGGCAATTAATAAATGCTGATCTTTTGTTCAACTACGGGGTGGCTGTGCTTGGAAAAGCGGATGCAAATATGGTTATCATTCCTTTCTTCATCTGTTGGGTACTTAATCTGTGTATTCTTGGCATAAAAATTTCATTAAATATTGTTTTTGGGAGGTAAAAAATGATGTAATTTTTATGATAGTAACAGTATCAGTAAATCATAATAGAATGATTAACCATCAATGACATGCTTTGTTATATGATAGAGAAACCACGAGGAAAACATGCAATGTTCATTTTTCTATATAATATAATAGAGCTTACCTCGGTTCTCTCTAGATTGAAATGTAAAGTATCTACGCTTTTGTCATTTGTGACGCGAAGGCTATAGAATGGAAGTTTTAGCAGGAGGTCTTCCACAAAGCATGTGCATCAGCATGTTTCTCTTGCAATTGGACGGTTTTAGGGGAAGAATGATGGTGCTTTTGACTTAGATGAGTGCAGTTAGAGACACTTGACAGGGAAACGAGGCCTCCTTGTGTTCTGTTAGGAGCTTCTAAGAGAGTCTGTTATAATATTGGATGATTTCCATAATATTTTTCTTATGGTCACGTGGAGGAATAATTGATGTGATGTTTAATTCCTAGAATCTCGTACATTAGTTTTCACACTCTTTATGATTTGAATGCATTTTTTTGAATAAGTTCACGTGACATTTATTTTAATTTATGGACTCATTTCAAAACACCAGAAACATAGGCAAAATCTTGGATCCCTTTCTTTTGGTACACGAATGCCAATACTGACACACCAAGCTTATTTTCTTCCTTCTAGGGTGCATATTCAATTTTTCATGAATATTCTAACCTTGGCACTTATGTTTGATTGAATGCAGAGTGTTGTTTCTGGCCTGAACAGAGGTCTTGCTGCAGGCGAAGATGATCAACAGAAGGCAGATGCAGCTGCCAAGGATCTTGAAGCTGCAGGAGGACTAGTCGATCTCTCAAAGGATATCGATAAGCTGCAAGGGAGATGGAAGCTTATTTATAGCAGTGCATTCTCATCTCGCACCCTAGGTGGAAGTCGTCCTGGACCTCCCACTGGAAGGCTGCTCCCCATAACTCTAGGTCAGGTGTGTATTTTGAACACTACCTATTGATCTGCTTTTCACCTCGGTTTGCTGGTCAATGTTTGATGTTACCATTCTGTGAAAGCTAGATCAAGGTGCAGTCCTTCAAGCACCTTAACTGGAGTAGTTTGTAGATCTCCTGCCACATGACAGGCGTTCTTGCATGTTGTGAACGCCCATCAAAATGATATTTTTTTGTGTGTGAAGGCCTCGTCTACAATTGTTTGGTCTAAAGTAACAATATTGTGATACCGCGTGTCATGGGCGGCAAGTAGACGTGTCAAAATCATTTGGACTCGTGCTTTCTTGGATGTGCAAGCTACGCTTACAAGATATAATCTGCCCTAAATTTATTTTGGCTTCTTAATTAGGTCTTCCAAAGAATCGATGTCCTAAGCAAAGATTTTGACAACATCGTAGAACTTGAACTAGGAGCTCCATGGCCCCTACAACCTGTTGAAGTGACTGCCACATTGGCCCACAAATTCGAACTCATAGGTTGGCCTCTCGCTCTCTTCTCCCTTCTCTATTTGGTTGTTACTCTCTTTACTGCTATTATTTCGTGACATAAGATGGATGCCTCTGCTTGTGTGGAGAACAGGATCGGCAAAGATTAAAATAACATTCGAGAAAACAACTGTTAAGACAACCGGGAATTTGTCACAACTTCCACCCTTAGAAGTACCTCGAATTCCAGATGCATTAAGGCCCCCATCTAACACTGGAAGTGGCGAATTTGAGGTTACCTACCTTGATGCTGACACTCGTGTCACAAGAGGAGATCGAAGCGAGCTTCGAGTTTTTGTACTCTCGTGAATTCTTTCTCGCTCGTTCGAGATTGTTGCAAGTTAAAATCTTCAAACTAATAACACAATTACGATGAGATATTATAAATATTTATTTTGTATTTATTAAAATTTTACCTGTAAAACTATTTATATAGAAGAAAATTAGAAAATCATATTAATACTAAATAAAAAATAAAAATAAAAATACTATTCCCTTCAAATATGAAAAATGGAAAATCTTAATAATATTGAATAGAAAAATAAAAATCCTAAACTGAAAAATATTTATTTATTTTCCCAAAAAGCAACAACATGATCAATTAGCCCCAATCTAATTCACGTTTTTTGAAGGATTTGTGTGGTTACTGGGGATAATCTGGTGGATGGATTGATGGTGAGCCGATGGTGAGCAATATCAATGCAAAAAGGAGGGAATTTTTATAAAAAAATTTAATTCGATCCCTACTAGAAAAAAGAAATGCAAATCAGCTATTGATTGGGGTGTCGATTGACAAACATTTAGTTTGTGCTGGTGCAAATTGATCAAGTTTAAGATATAGGGACCAATAACCAAAACAAACACGGGAATAAAAATGTGATTGCCTATTTGTTTTTTGGCACGGGCTCATCATGCCTCTCAATTGGCTTTTATTTTTTTATTTTTTTATTTTAAAGTCCTTACTATAAATAAATAAATAAATAATACCACCAGGACCACCATCAAATCATCACAGAGAAGAGAAGGGAAGCGTCCCTCCCTCGCAGAAATAGACGTTAGAAACCATAACGGCTATATTCAATTTCAAACTTGAGAAACCCTAATTTCAATTTCCAATTTCTACTGCTATTTTCTCTCTTTCCAACTCTTCTTTAGCTCCCTTTCTCTCCCATCTCTCTATCTTCCAGATCAAAAATCAATCTTTTATCTCTCTGAAAACTGAGTTTTTTTTTCACAGTTGCAGTCTTGAACTCTACAAGGAAAGAAAGAAAGACCCAGGAAAAACCATCAACAGACCTTAAATTTCTTGTCTTTCCCTTGAGAAAGTCCCTTAAATCTCGCAATAATTCAGTCGTTCTTGAATTCTTTCACTAACCCTACAAAAAACAACTCAAAAATCCATATTCTTCAAAAACAGAGTCTTGAAAATTCTGAAAGCAAACACAATGGCCCCTACACCCTCTTCTTCTTCTTCTAAAGCGAATCATCCACACCTCTTAAAGACACTGCAATCAAAACATAGGTTAAATTTCTCTTCCACAAGAACCCCAAGTCTTAATCCATCTCCAAACCCTAACTCCACCGTTAAAGAAACCCCTCAAGACCACCCGATCGAAGTAATTAGCAGAATACGAGATTATCCTGACAAAAAAGAGAAACCCAATTCCATCTTGCAAGTAAACCCCGACAATCAAACTCTTCGTCTCCGTGCAGACATTGGGTACCGAGACTTTAGCCTTGATGGGGTCTCTTTTTCTGAAGAAGAAGACCTCGATTCCTTTTACAAGAAGTTCGTGGAGTCGAGGATTACTGGGGTTAAATTGGGTGCAAAATGCACGATAATGATGTATGGTCCAACTGGTTCTGGGAAAAGTCATACAATGTTTGGCTGCTCGAAGCAACCAGGCATTGTTTATCGATCTCTGAAAGATATTTTAGGGGGAGGAGAAGAGAGAAGTGAAGGGGGTGATGGGGAGAAGATACGAATTGGCACTTTTGTGCAAGTTACAGTTCTAGAGATTTATAATGAAGAAATTTATGATCTTTTGTCAACTAATAGCGGGGGTGGACTTGGAATCGGGTGGCCTAAGGGCGGCAGTGGATCCAAGGTAAACTTTTCGACAAGTTTAAAATTCGAAAAGTTTGATTAAAATTCGATTTTGATTTGCTTATTTTTAGTAGATATTGCTGTTTATGTTATGATTAGGGCATTCTGATATCACTACTGCTCTTTTTTTAGAATTTGTTCGTTGTTAAGTATTGCTCTTTGTTTTTTTATGAAAATTTTGTTCAATTTTATGATTCATTTTTTAGTTTATAATAAGAAATTAAGAATAACTAAATTTCTTCTTTCTGTTGCTGTACCCATACCACCTCTCTGTTTGTGCCTTTCCTGAAATTGGTGTGTGAACAAAGTGAAACTCAAGCAACTTTCTTTAATCTGAAGAAGTGGGGTTGGGAGTGCTAGAACTAGATATTTGAAATTGTTCTTTCTGTTATGGTACCAGAATAAGTCGGGAGTTAGTTCTAGAGAATGCATATGTACCTGTGACAGCTAAACTGTTATGTAGTCTTCTCTTGTGCTTGTATTTTTTGTTGTTTATGAAATTTTAATTTGAACAATTTTCTTAGCTTATCTCTCCGTTGATGATTACCTGGATGCATTTTTTTTTATTTCCCATGAGGACATTTTATGGGTTCGCCATGCCATGTCAGTTCTCGGTGGACAAGATGTTATAGTGGATTATGAGGTTGTCATCATAATTTGCAGGTAAGACTTGAAGTAATGGGAAAGAAGGCAAAAAACGCAACTTTTATTTCTGGAAATGAAGCTGGGAAGATTTCAAAAGAGATCCAGAAAGTTGAGAAGCGAAGGATAATTAAGAGCACGCTTTGCAATGAGCGAAGTTCAAGGAGTCATTGCATGGTATGACTCATTTAGAACAGACTTGGATCAAAAAGTGAAACTACTGCAATTATTGTTGTTGACTGAGATTGATCTGCCTTTTCAATGGCTTGTTTGCACAGATAATCCTTGATGTTCCCACCGTAGGTGGCCGGCTTATGCTTGTGGATATGGCAGGGTCAGAAAATATTGACCAAGCAGGCCAAAGTGGTTTTGAAGCTAAAATGCAGGTAAAATTTTGGGATCCATTTTGCCCCCCTTTTCTGCGTGCTGGCATTGAAAAGGAAAACTGATTTTGTGCTTCTGGTGAAATGACAGACAGCAAAGATCAACCAAGGGAATATAGCATTGAAGAGAGTGGTTGAATCTATTGCTAATGGAGATTCTCACGTACCTTTCAGAGATAGCAAGTTGACTATGCTGCTCCAAGTAATCTCCCTACTCATGTTGATTACAACTAGGTTAGTTTGTGTAGCTTGTTTGAACTCTGCTTTATCAGGTTTTCCGGTTCCATGTTTTTCAGGATTCTTTTGAAGATGACAAGTCAAAAATTTTGATGATTCTGTGTGCAAGCCCAGACCCAAAAGAAATACACAAGACAATCTGCACGCTTGAATATGGAGCAAAAGCAAAATGTATTGTCCGTGGCCCTCATACGCCGATAAAGGATAAAGTTGGTGCTGGAGATTCTTCTGCTGTCATCTTAGGATCAAGGATAGCAGCCATGGACCAGTTTATCTATAAACTACAAATGGAGAGCAAGCTTAGAGAAAAGGAGAGAAATGAAGCTCACAAACAGCTAATGAAGAAAGAAGAAGAAGTTGCTGCACTGAGAGCACTTATTGAAGAGAAGGGGTCTTCAGCAAGTGAGGAGGAGATAAACATAAAAGTGAGTGAGCGTACAGAAGAACTGAAACTTCAGTTGGAAAAGAAGCTGGATGAGTGTCAAAGAATGGCTGAAGAGTTTGTTGAGTTGGAGAGGAGGAGGATGGAAGAAAAGATACTTCAACAGCAGCAGGAACTTGAGATGCTCAGAAGGCGCTTGGAAGAAATTGAGTTTGAGCTATGTCATTCAAAGGGTGAAAACAGTGCTGTGAATGGTCCTAGGGACATTGATGGCAGTGGCTTTGCCAGAAGATTGATGGGGGTTTATGCTGATGAGGACCCTGGGATGGTGAAATCGATGGATTTAGACATGGGTGATCAAGAAGCGTTTGTTCATGATGTGAAATTGGCTGGCACATCTGCTCACCAATCTAGCAACATTGGAATCCAAAGCTTGTCTGGTTATCCTCATTTAAGTACTTTGAATCAGGTGGTTGATCATGGAGTATTTGCACCAATATATGGTGATAAAGTGTGTCTTAGCACTGTGTTTGAGGAAGAAGAGATAGAAGAGGAGGAAAACAAAGTGGAAGATGAAGAAGTGGAGAAAGAAGTAATAGAAGTGAAGAGGATTGTTGATGTGTCCAGTCCGGCGATCAATTTCTGTGCTGACTCCTTGATGTCTTCTCCTCTGATGTTTGAGGCACTCAAAGATGGGTCAGAGGATAGGCACTCAGTTTCAGGGCCAGTAAATGAGCATGAGAATTCGAAAGATCCAGCCTCTTCGAGACTATTAAGAATCCAGAACATATTTACACTTTGTGGGAACAACAGAGAGCTTTGTCAACAATTCAGAACTCCTACATCTGCAAAAAAGAGGGTTGCAGATACTGATTCCCAAACACCTCCAATTTTGACTGTTGGCGAGGATTTTGCTCTCACGAGTTCAAACAAGGAAAACTCACCACCGCTACAGAAAAATGTGCCTGTGATGGAGTGTGGGAAAAATCTGTCTGATATGATAGCTTCAAAGGAGAATTACAACCCTTTAATAGGAAGTAATGATACACAGATTGAAGTGCATGTGAAATGGGAAGCTTCTCAAGGAAACAATGGGAAGTTCATCACTACACTTAAGGTTTTGAAGGATGCGACACTTGCTGACCTGCGAAAGCTGATTGAAATCTATCTTGCTGCAGACAATCAAGCATTCACTTTTCTTGTGCTTGGGGTAAGGTGTTATCTTCATTTAGCTAGTCCTTAAAACAAGATAGATAACCAACCTCTTTGAGTTTGCTTGCTTGCTGCTGTTTTTTTTTTTTTTTTTTATGGAAACGCTATAAATTTACTTGTGCAGGATCCTAGTGGAGCACCAGTTCCAAGAGAGAAAGAGTCGACGGTACAGGCCATCAAACTCCCCATTTGCAACGACCAGTCTTATGGCTACTTGGCTTGCTTGCGACCAGCCAAGGGAACCCAAGGTTCGAATCATCTCCCAGCAACCCCTCTTCCATTGACTCCGGTGGAAAATAAACTACCACAGACCCCAATGCCTTGCTTGTCACATCAAGCTGTTGACTTATCTCCCAAACTAGCTGCACACCTGAACTCTACTCCCTTCATCACTCTTCGAAGGCGCTAGCTGTCATGGTGTGTATCTGATGCATTGAGTATATATGCGTATGTACTCTTTCTGGATTTTAAATGTGAATTTACTGTCGATAAATGAATTTGGCTATCTGTCTGGGTATGGCTTGACTAATCATTTCTCTTCTTTGTTTATGCTGCGTTAGATTTTGTCTCTACATATTATTTGCATCTTCAAATCTGATTGTTCCAACGCGGTCAAGGCACGCACGGCTGATAATCTCTGCATAGAGAGGGTCCTCTGCTTATCCAGTTCCATTTAATCTGCAAATTTGACAATGGATCCAACTCTTTAAAGTGGATAACGAAATTAAAATTATTGTAAAGTGAAATCTGAAGTAACAACCACCTTCTTGTATTGCTAGAACCCTTGTCCATAATCGAGTTTTGTTTTCATGTTTCAAAATGATTTTAAAATAAATTAAAATTTTATTTTATTTTTTTATTTGCTTTAATTTTTTTTTTTTGTGTTTTTAGATCGTTTTAGTATATTAATATAAAAAATAACTTATTTTTAAAAAAATTATTTTAATATATTTTTAATCAAAAAACATTTTTAAAAAACAACCACCATTGTACTTCTAAACAACTTCTTAAATATATTTGCGCTTCTTATACTGGAAGTGCAAGCAATTCTCTCACAAAAATCAGTTTCTTTCTAATCTTATTTAGTAATCATAATTTTGACATTGCCATTATATAGAGGTGTAAGCTAGAACAAAGCAAAAGAACGGCACTGAGTCTTGTATGTATCAGTAGTAACATGATGCCATAAATCACTGAGTCTAATACTGCAAGGAAAACCCTTCCACTTTTGTAAGAAAGAAAAAAGAAAAGAAAGAGTCATGTTATTTAATTATTTTTTTGATAAATTGATGGAGCATTTATATGTTTTGAGAATTTTAAAACAATGCTGGAGAAACTCCTGTTGTCAATCTGCTCTGGACTGGTCATCGTGTCGTCAATAAAATATGGGGTAAAAAAGGCTACCGAAAAGCTGAAGCACAAGCTTTTGACTTTTGGCTATGCAAGATAAACATGTACGTACATTAAGAGAACTAAAAAGCAAATTAAACACAAATTGAATTATGGTTAACACTTTAATACACATTACAGTAAATCTCTAACACACAAATCACTGCATTGCTTTCATCCCTCCTCTTCATAGGCTTCCAAAACAGAGCTTAGTTGGCTTGCAATGTTCTTCCTTCCATTTATAGATTCACAACCCCCAGATCCAGGATCTGAGAAAGGAACCGCTTCTTTTGAAGACTTCTTTTCCTTTGATTTCGATGACCCACTGCCTGGCGATCCTTTGGACTTTCTTGCACGAGAATGTTTTGGGATGGAGGGCTGGTCATGATTAGGCGATTCAGCACCAAGACTTGAGTTCTTTTGCCGTCTTGAGATTCGGTTGGTCCCTGATGTTTCTCCTTTTGGAGAGTCCATTGACTTGTTAGAAGAGCGGTGACGCCTATAACTCTTTGGCGCATCAGTGCCGCGGGGGGAATTTAAAGGTGAACCCGCACCGCTAGATGCTTGGTGCCTGGAATTCCTTGATGAGTCGGTGCTCCTTCGGTCTGGGGAATTTAGAAGTGAGCTAGCACTGCCTGATGAGCGCCTTGACCTATGCCTCGGCTTTTCAGTCTGAATTGTGTCTGTTAAAGCAAAGCAACATCAGCAAACTACATTTTTTCCCAGCTGAATAGATGATCCAGTAAAACCCTGCACGTATATTAATCCATAAAAACACTGATCCATGATCATTAGAAAAAGGCAAACCTTCTGCGGGTGGATCTGTTGAAAGGCTCTTCACTTCTTCTTTAGAATTTGAAGTCATACATAAAAGTTCTGGAGGAGAGTTAAAGTCATTCATCTACACACGCAAGGAATTATTTCTCATCAGAAAGCCTATTAGAGCAGTGACAAGAAGCAATACCTAAGTAAAATTTAAGGTTTTCATTTCTTTTTCTTTCCCATATTTTGATCTCATGCTCACTGATGTCTGAAGGAAAAGGGACATAAGTTGATAATGTTAGGCAGCGTGTAGCCAAAGGAAGCATGAAATGGGGGTGCCTATCTATAGGAGCTTAAGCAACCTAAATCGTTTTCATGGATAACTTCGATCTTCAGAGGCAACGGAAAGGAAACTTTTTGGCATACCCAGCTAGGTGCATTTATTTCAGATGGACCATCGCATCCAATGTGAGCAACATGCTTTACATCTGTAGGAAATCCAATTTGCATTTCTTGTTCCTTTTCATCTGCAAAATTGGAGAAAGATTGATGACCACAGACATGGTACAATACTACTACTGCTTATATCCGCCAAGTCTACTGTTGGAATACTTGATAAGTATTAATGCAACATTGAGCTTCAATATTTTTTGTTCTGAAATAATATATTCTTTATGAGTGAAAAAGTAGACGTACCAAATATTTGTGAAATGTATCTTAGACCTCTCAAAAGACCTTTCACTTTGGTTGTCATTTTGGCCGAACCAAGCAATTAATTTGGCCGCGCCTGCAAAGTTGATGCGCTTGTTGAATTGGTGCTTCTGCACTTGAAAAATGGAGTAAAGCAAGTGTGTGTGTGTATCAGCAAAGCTGACAGAAGAAAATTCTTAAATTTTTCCGCTTATCCTGTCACAATATCCAGTAAATTCCATCAAAATGCACCAAAATTTAAGAAAAATATCCTTGCTAATCGAAAATAAATTATGCACATCTCAAAAATCTTTCTTTGAACACCGTAAAATTTGTTTCCATAATTTAATATATTCTAAAACAATTATCATCACCAATGGAAAATTCAAATCCATTAACTCACCAAGGATCACAAAACAAACTCACGACAACTTGGAGCAATCAACTTAGTAAGAACAAACATTAAGAAAACTCCCATCGAAACAAAGGATGTGCAAATTCTATAGAGAAAACCGCACCTTGGAGAAACAAAACGAAGAAGTCAAGACAATGCCATGATCTTGCAATGTCAGTGATTGCACATCAAACAATCTCTGACCAGGAACACACAGTTTGGTTCCATGAACAAGATGCCATCCCTCAACCCTAATGGATGTAAGTTCTTGGTTGCTGGCTTTGTCTCCAATCAAGAAGAGAAGATGGATACTATGAACCGGAAAATCTCCAAATTTTGTAGTCTAACACATCATCTTCGTTTCAAGGACGCGTTTTCCTTTCCCATCCTCTGTCAATCAAAACCAGTAGATAGCCTATTTTCCAGGCCAAATATCCAGAAAGGCAGAGCCATCTAACTTTGGGTGTTTTTCGTTACCTGTCTTTTCATAAAAGCGCGGGAAAAACGGTTAGGAAAAACGGTTCTTACTTCTGGTTTCTTCTGTTGCTCCTCTCTAATGACACATCAGCATGCAAATTTAGCAGTATCCAAAATAAACCAAGAAAATATAAATCACGAACACCTCTTTTAGAACACTTACCAAACTAATCAGGTCAGACACATCAGAGGCTCATCGGCTATTTATCTTCTTATCGGGTAACAGGTGACTGGGTTGGCATTCGAAGTGGAGGTCCCACTAATGGGATATAAAAATCATTACACGAGGCCTGCTGCTCATGAATGACAAATTTCATTTTCAAATAGGAGGACAAGAGTGTGACTGCCAAATAAATAAAATATAATAAGATATAGATAAAACCGAGAGATAAAAAAAATGGAAATTGAAGAAATAATTTTTTTTGAAAAATGAGAGAATTGTTATCAATTTTTGATTAATCTAGATGTTATTTTCTCCTCCTGCATTTCTATATCTCTCCTGTGTAGTAATTATACCTGAAAAAACTAGTGTTTATTTCCTTGTTTTTATCAAGTAGCATAAATGTTGTTAAAAATACCTTTTTAATATAAAAAAAGTAAAATCAAATCATAAAATTCAAATTTCTTTAACTAATTATATATTAATAATTTTAGACAAATAGTAAATGTAATAGTACCCTAGCAAATTCTAAAAATGTAATGCTACCCTAGATGAAAAACTTTAATTACATTAAAATATGATAAAAAATAAATAATATTATAATAAATAAATGAACTAAATAAAATAAAAGGAATAAATAATATGAATCAAGAAGAAGTTAATGACATGGAAAAATAAAATATCTCAAAACAAAAACAAAACTTCTTAATACAAGGAAAAATCAGAAAAAATAAATAGAAAGCTAAAAATAATAGGATAACTGATTTCTAAGAAACTCATTACCAGTCTACTGATTATTCATATAAAACCATAAACCATTAAATGCACTTATCTTACATAGCATTTTAATAGATCTTATAAACTCATAAACTCGATTTGATTTTACCAATTTTAAATGAATCAAACCTAATTTTACCGTTTTCCAAGTTTTTAGTTCAATTTTACACATTAAATACATGTTAACTTGTAAAAATTAAAAGATTTTACAAACCCACTTGCAATTTTGACAACGAGTAGCCTTCCTTCTAGAGCACCCTGCTCTAAATTTGTAACTTCAGTTGCTGCCTCCTAGGATGTTTTAATTTACATGCAGAAATACCCTTCAAAGGTTATTATACTGTTTATTCACAACATTATCATCTACTTTTCTAATCTTAGGAGAAGCTGCAAGAAAATATGATTTCTTGAAAGTGCACTTGTATGCAGCTCTAGTATCTAAACAAGAAACCGCTATCAGAATTGCTGTCGCAACCTTGGGGGTTCCAAGCGTTAAATGAATGGAGCAGAATGGCAACTTAATTCACCTATGCTCAAGGGTGGGCAACACTGCCTTCCTCAGTGCGCGCTACCTGCTCCCCAACCATACAGAACGCCAGAGAGCAAAGACTAAATAAAAAAATTGAAGTTATCATAACACATGTTGAACAGAAGAGTTGAATGGAAGAGTAAATAGCTGTATAATTTGAAGTAGCTCTAGCGTCTAAAGTTTTTGAAGCTAAATCAACGGGAGAAAAGGTAACCAAAGCCACTGCCAGTCATCAGAAGGATCTCCTCAATTATAAAGCTTTCATATTATCCAGACCAACACTAGCCTGCATCAACAAAATAGAATTGGTGAGAAAACAAGTATAAAGTGACATTACACAACAATGTTGCTCCTACAACAAAAAAATCTCCACTAGCCCACTAGACTTTCTGGCCCTTCCTTCAAACCTCCCAAATTCCCTAGTTTCAGAGTGTATTAGGTTCCTTTATGCTGAGTACATGCCACATATGGAATCTAGCATAGTTGATTCCACTTGCCATCCTTTCTTATTATACTGGTAATGCTGTAGCTTACAACTTAGGCACGAAAAGGAAAGCAAGGAACAGACACTGACATAGATTTGGGATATCGCACAAAGAAAAAAAAAACAGTAAATTTGGTTGACATTTCATACTTCATTATTGGCATTTTAATTTGGCCCCTTGATCCAAATTGTCAAATGTGAAGTATACTATCCTTAGATTAAGCAGTTACAAAGATATTGGGTATCACTGACCATGCAATTCAGTTACAGAAACACCTTACCAGGAACTTGTGATTCTCTTCAAGAAATGGAGGAAAGGTTGAACAGAATTGCTCCATGTCAGCAGCAACATTGCCTGGGCCAGAAATTACTTCCATGAACTTCTTCCTGTCTGGAACAAGCTTTATGACAACCTGTAATCCAGCATGAAATACGCCAAGGAGTCTCAAAAAGTCATTCAGATAACACAGCACTAGTCTTAGCTATGATGCATAGCATATAGTTAATATTCTAGTAATGCTGGAGGGAGTAAAATGGCATTCCCATTTATTGATTAAACTTCTGCGGTATGGGGACTACGGTATCCTTGCATAGCTACTGCAGTCCATTCCTTTTTCTAATCAAATCCTTGTCATCAATACAACCAGACTTCATGTGAGTTTGCACTTAAATACATAAACTGAAGGGGGGAAAAGTGAAGAATGGAGGAAGCCAGGTTTAAAGATATGAGAGAATACACGAAAGCAGTACAGTAAATTTACAGGAAGAATTCATAAAATTTCTAAAACTCAGGGACGTGAATGGAATAATTTTCAAAAACACAATTTGAAAGCATCAAATTAATTCAGAGATTCAATGGGAAGCAAGACACATTGCATACAAATTCCACTAATATAACCGAAATATTAGATTGAATTGAATAGATCAAAGACATTACAGTAGAATATGAACTAGCAACCCAGCCATGAAATTTCTTCAGTGTCTTGCCATATGAATCTGTACAGGCTTGTGACATTGTCCAATCTGGGTGTGCAAGTAAATTCAGGAACAGTTGCACAAGGAAATCCATTGCTCTAAGGACATGCAAGAGTGATAAAACACGTTAGAGCATAAAATTGTAAATTCCTTAATCTTAAGAGGATAGGCAATGACTGTCAGTCACAAAGTGTAAATAAGATTTTTTTCAAGTTTGCCAAGATTCTTATCTAGTGAAGAATCAAAGCCTAAAATTATCTGCTTTTATCCTATTACTTGTTCTGCGTTTCATCTTGCATGCCTTTCATAACTTGAAAACTATGCACTGAGGCTGTTCCATTGGGACATGTTCAAAAATCTAATGTGACGTGGTTTGAATAAAATAAGATAAATAAAGCCTCAAAATATCTTTATCCTCAATAACTCTCTTGCACCAAACTTTGCAATGATCAACATGCCCAAAATTTCTCACACTGGAAAATTAAAGAAAAACAATCTCTCCATCATACCAAAATGGCATGCAAATCACAACCTAAGATACAAAACAAAATATGTTTCCAAGGTTCTGCAGCATGTACCTGGTTAACCAAAGAAGACAATTGGTACAACTGGAAGATCCTTTGGCTGTTTTAGCATCAACCTCCTCTTGAATCATAGTGTATAAGTGGTTGTATTTAGACGGATCAGACAAATACTTGTTTTCCAATCTCTACAAGTAAAAACCTAGAGTCAATATTAGACGAGGAAAAAAAGCCAAATCACATTCCAAACGTGATAAAGAAAATACAATGTATCATCTGCACAGTACTCAAATGCCCATCATGGGCAATGTTATAAAAAAAAGGTGCAGATAACATAAGTAATATAAGCAAGTAAGCAGATAGGAAGAAATAATCCCTTACCGTACCGATATCAGATTTTAGAAGGGTCATGGCAGCTCCAAACTTATCTGTCATCAGAAGTACTACAAGAGTTCAATTTGCAACCAAGCATCTAGTAGTAGTTGAATAATGCAAGAAGATATGATAATCCAGAAGACTAATAAAATAAAATAAAATCATTACAGTGAAGAATCTCATATAAGTGCCTGTTTGGCGTTTGGCATAACTTACAAAATGACAAGTCAAAAATTATTTCTAACAAAAACATATTTATCATTTTTCTATGAGTAAAAAGAGTTGATGTAAATCATTTTTTTGCATAATATACTTCCATCTAAACTTATTTTTGTCAGGGGTTATTTTTTTTTTAAAAAAAGTAATGCCAAACAGACTCTTAAAGCTTTTAGTTTGGTAATGCGGTGGGCAACCACCATACTGAAGAGAAGAGAAGCAGAACGGACCGATAACAGGCAAAATCAATTTGCAGACATCCAAGAAAGGTTTAGTGAGCATTTCTCCGTGATCAGATTTGACGAGCTTCATTCCTTCCAATGATGGTGTAAACACAGTTCCTAGACCATCAGCCCCCATTGTCTATTTCACTGCAACAACCTTTTCGTACAAAAAAAGAAGAGGAAAAGAGAGTTTGAAATCTGAATAAAAAATTGAAGAAATATGCAGTAATCTAAGATTTGAATTTTAATCAGATCTACCGGCAATTTCAGTATCGGTACAAGAACAGGAAGGGAAAAGATGTAGGTGTGACTGGATTGGGTTGGAATTGATTTTTAAGGGAAAGGAGATGCCGCAGAATCTGATAGTAGAATCATTTGATAAAGCGATGATCGCCTTTGATATTTTAGAAGATAAAGGAAAAAAGAGGAGAAAGTTCGGTGGAGTCGGTTGGTCGCTTTCACGTTTCGAAACCGAGGCGTGTTATTTTCAAAAGTTTGCTGGCTTCGGAGCGGCTGATCAACTCCGATGAAGATGACTCACCATCGTCAAGGACAGGCCTAATAGAATTAAAGCCTAGCAACTATACTGATTGCTTGGCTCTTTGTTATTTGTCAGAGGATATAATCATACAAACTTAGCCAAGTGTTCTTGCATTGTGACTTGTGAGATATCCACGGGCATGGGAACACCTTCCAATCTGATCATTTAGATATTTTGTGTTATTACTAGGAGTATTTAAAAAAAAAAAAAAAAACTTAAAGCAACATGAAGAAAAATAAAAGAAATGACTTTTAAGAAAAGAAAATATTTTTGAAAAAGGGAAATAAATAAATTAGAATCCATAGCTAAATTTTAACATGATTTTATAATAGATATTTAATTTAATTTGAAAATTAATTTCAAAAAATATATATATATAACTTTTATGCGAGTCAAAAATTAAAAAAAATAAATTAATTTACAAAAATTATATAAAACTGAAGCCAGGTCTTTCGCCTGTTACCTTTGGAGTAAGCTATCCACACCCGCTTGAGCAATATCAGCTCAGTAGCTGAACCAGCCCTTTAGAGGGTCCTGTAATATTTGTATTATTTTGGTCCGGTTGGGTTGTACTGCAAAAAATTGTTCTTGAATAGTTTTGGCCATAAGTATTCGACTGGTTTCCTAGCCCGGCTACACTGGATATTAGATTAATTTTTTAAAATAAATATCTAAGTTTAGAAGATTTTTATGATATTATTATCAAACTTAATATAATATAACAAGTTAATTTTAAAAAAATTAACTTAATTTTTATTTAACTTGAATTTCGAATAAAATCATATAAAAATTATTTATACATGATTTAGTTAACTTGATGAATTTAAAATAATCTGAATAACCAATAAAAAAATATAGTTTTATATTAAAAAATATTTTAAAATGATATTTTTCTTGTTAATATCAAGACATTGATATATTAAATTGACTCGGACTTCTAAGCTTAGTAGGTCAGACTTTCAACAAAATGCAAGCCTTGATTTTTTTTATAATATTATTAAATTTGAAATAGCAGGTTAATTTTAAAAACTCCCAACTTAATTATTTTTCTTGTTTGTGTTTCAAATAAAATCATGTAAGATGTTATTCAATTAATTTGATAAGTTTAATAACAATATGAATAACCAATAAAGAATATAATTTGACCCTAAAAAACATTTTAAGATGACTTTTTTTTTAATATTAAGACAATAATATATTAAATTGATTTGGATTTCTAGATTTAGTTGGTCAAAACTCGTAACCTAGATTATGGTCTCCACAAGATTTAACATCTTTGTTTTCTTAAGTTATTTTTTATCTAATGATATGATAACAAATAAAAAATAAAGCTCACAAAACCACATTATTCAGGATTTTTTTAAAAAGAGAACAATATATAAAAAAAGAACATCAACTCTTGTTAACTTTTTAAATTTGCGATTCGAGTCATTAGATAAAAAATATTGTATTTGAAAAAATCAAGAAATCCAATCCCAAAAAAATAAAAATTTGAAAAATGAAATCATTAAAAAAATATACAAAAATATTCAAAATAAAAAAAGGGTTAAAATAAAAATTAAAAATGAATTAAAAGGCAGCAATAAGTTTTCAAATTGAAAGTTAAATTGAAAAAAAAAAACATTAACAAAAGGATAAAAAAAATTAAAAGAATCATGATAAAATTATATATATAAAAATAACACACCATTAATTTGGATTTCATAGTAAAATTAAAAATCAATAAAAGTTTTATAAAAAAAATAAAGGTAAAAAAATTAAAAATAAAAAAATATGGATCAAATTGAAAGAAATAATACATGATAACTTGAGATTAAATAATAAAATTGAAAATAAATAAAATTTTATAAAAGAACCTATAAAAAAATAGAAATCAAATAATAAGGATTTTATTGGAAATAATAAAAAAAGAACAAACCTTTTTTTTAGGAGAAGAGAGAAAAGAATAGAAAATAAAAAAATACCAATAAAAAACAAATTACTCCACTTCTATCGGTATGTGAATAGAATGCGATAGTCGATCTAAGGATCTAATAACAAGTGGAAGGGCAACTTTAGTTATGGAGAGGTATGATATGTATCATTCGAAATACATTATACATCACACGTATCAATATATTTTTAAATTAAAAAATTAATTTAGTAAACTTAAGAGATAAAAGTGTCCTCGATGATCCTAGATTTCACAAAACAAAAATTAATTTAGTAAACTTAAGAGATAAAAGTGCTCTCGATGATCCTAGATTTCACAAAAAAAAAAAACTTATTTAAAAAGATCAAAATGACCATTTATGCATGCCTTAATTTTTTTTATTCCAAGGGCTAATTTACTATTTTATTGTATTTAAAAAAGAAAAAGACCAAAACAACCTTCTTAGCCGGTTTTAAAATTTTTAATGTGGAGAGTAATTAAATTATTTTACTGCACTAAAAAGGTTAAAAACATAATTATACCCTTGCCTGAAAAAGAATAAATTATCTCCAAATAAAACACAAATAATTTTATTTTATTTTTGGATAGAGCAAAGATATTCTTCCAATTAAACCAGGCGGGTAACCTGGCAAAAAAGCGTGGCTGTAGCAAAAGGCATAAATACTTCAGATATTACCCAGGCCACCAAAAACGGAGCAAAACCGGACCCCCAAAGCCACAGGAGCTCAATTGTGTTTTGCAGCCTATCAACTATCCAATCCCCAAAACAGTAAACAAAAAGGGTAAGTCTATAACATAGTCTCCACAAGGATTCCAACAAAATGTTTGTTTCAAGCTCACAAAGCAAAACTACAGAGTTAAATCAAACTGCTATTTCAGCAGGCCTTGGGCGGGTATTTGATAGCATTCTTTACAATTTTTCTGGTGGCAGCATCACCAAGATCAACCCCACAAATATCAGCCAGCCTGATGAGGTAGAGCAAGACATCAGATAGCTCTTCTGCTAGATGCTCCTTGTCGGATTCCTCCCAATTTGGCAACCCCTTGTCAACCTCTCCTTTCCACTGGAATATCTCCGATAGCTCTCCTACCTCACCAACCTACACATCAAATACCAGAGGGGAAAAGGGAATCAATCAAATATTAGATGGTGTAAAAACTCAGTCCATCATCGGGAAGATTTTAGCCAATAATAACCCATGTATATTGTCACCATCACAGCTACAAGACATAAAGAAGCATATTTATACACCCTTTATTAGCCAGGGGTTCAAGCTTCACAGATGGAAAGACAAGGGCACCTTCAGAAATTCCTCAAGTACAATTCCAAACTTGAGCAATTTGACTGAAGGGATTCCTCTGCCCGCCACCGCCACCCCCCCACCCCCCCCACAACACCTTATTCTGCCATAAAATTGGTGACTGAAATCGTCTCAAGTAGCCATTGGAACCTCCTTCCTTCAGCCTCATATTTGTTCTGTTAACAGTCTTTGTGGAACGTCTTTCTGAAATTATGAAATAAAACACAGTTTGTGACAGGAAAAAAAATAAATCTCACACAGTAAATCCCCAACCAATTTGTGAATCCTTTCGTCCTGCTCAAAAAAATAAAGTTTTTCGTGGTTAATGATGTCCTTCCCGTCAGTGACTTGTCACGTTTCGGCTTTGACATAGACGATTAAACTAGAAGAAAAGTTGTCTCCAGATTCAACTGATCATCTTAATAAATTGAAAACATTGATCAAACGAACATATCGAGAGAGCCATACTGCCATACACAGGGACATTCAACTATGTAGCAAAGAAGAAACATTGCATGGCACATACGTAAAAGATCTCCACATGATTACTCTGAACAAATTTAAGAAAGATAGGGCATTACCATTGCAAGAAGAAGATTCCTTGGACTATGGTACTTCTCCCAATCTCTGGCCTTGGCAAATTCCTCTAGTTTCTTTGCAAGGTCCTTAAGACTAATGTCCACTACCCTCTGATCTTCTGCAATAGTGACCTCTTCACCTTCTTCCATGTTTCAGCTCCTTCTGAGTATCTCTGCAGGTTAGAGGAGTTCTTATAGCCCTAAAAGAACAGGATATAAAAAAATAAATATTAGCAGTACACCATTTCTCAAGATATGTGTATCCTCTGCGAAAGTGAAAACGAAAAGAAAAGGACCGAAAGTAGGAAAAATGCCTTCCTCATGGTTTATACATGAGATTCCTGGCAGTCCCCACCAAGCAAAATGACCAACTTCAGAATATTCCAATTAAACTATGACTAACTCATGCCTTACTATGTTTTGAGCAAAAGGGAAAATTGAGCTAACTATACTCGGATGCAAGGTTAAATTAATCAGCACGGTTGTCAGATAGCTTTCGGTGAGATTTCTATCTATATCAAATGAGAGGAATTTTGGGTGATTCAACACTCTTGTTTCAGGTGGCTAAATTAGTGTGATACACAAAAGCCCTATAAAACCTGCTACTCTTAGACAGGCATGCTTTACAATGGATTCCACATATGTAATCATGCTTTATTTGCCACTACTAAGTGCTTGCCCCACTATTTCTATAGCCTAGAGCCATATAATAGCCAGAGGTTCTTTCCATAACGAAGATGTGTAGCCCAATGAATGGCTATCATAGGAGAATATTCTTAAACCAATCTGCAGAGGCATGGCGCGTTCCCTTTTGGCACTGGCCTTTTGCCATTTGCTGGTAGAAGTTTGGAGTCTAAAAGATTATGCGTAAAGACTTAGAAATCTGAGTTAATTCTATTTTCTCATTCTCTCAAATAAGAACAGAGCGGAACGGCCATAAACTTTCCAGTCATAAGATAAGAGTCCAGCGTTGCTGAAAGTTTCCAACAACTTGCAACCTACTGTTAAAAATCTAGAAAGGAAACCAAGACTGAAAAGAAGCTAGAAACCATGTGAATACTTGTCCAGATCATTGATCTGTGAAACACTTTGGACAAGCAGCAAGGCCCTCCGCTACTAACAGTGTACACCGCATCAAACAAAACCATAAAAAGGTGAAGACATGTTTTGCATGAGCCATTGGTTATGTTTTTTCTGCTTGTGAATCCTCCAAGTAACCTTTCCATCATGCATCCTCCATGGATTGCAACGAAAAAAGCAAACCTTTTAGTTCATATTTATTTTTAAAAAATATTTTTTAAATTTTATTTATATTTATTTGTTATTACAAAAATTAATTAATAAAAAATATTTTTTAGTCAACGAAAAATTTTTTTTAATAAAAAAAATTTAACTTAATTTTCAAAAAAGTATTTTTTTTACTGTATTTGTTTTTTGAAAAGTGATTTTCGGAAAGTCATCTTCTAAACTTTTTGGTGTTTATTTGCCGCTAAAAAAGTTAGTCAACGAAAAATACTTTTCAGTCAAAAAAAAATTTGGCTTGGTTTTTAGAAAAATATTTTCCTGAAAAATTTAAACGAAAAACACTTTCTGGAAGTTATGAAAAATTTAGAAATGTCATTATTTGTTGATTTGATCCTTAAACTTTTTATTACTATATATATTTTATTTTAAATATTTATTTTTCAATTTCATCTCTTAAAATTTAATTTTTATATTAACCTTGGTCCTTATTTTTATAATTACTATTTGTTTTTTCCTTATTTTTTTATTGAAATTTTTTATTTATTAAATTTGGTCCTCATTCTTTTGATTATTACTTATTTTATTTGAAATAATTTATAAAATATTGATTCTTATTATTTTAATTTCTTCATCTTTTATTTTTTTTTTAAAAAAAATTAGATTTGATCTCTATTATTTTGATTAGTATTTATTTTATTTGAGATAATTTATGAAATTATATTTTTTTCAATTTCATTCTCATTTAATTATTAATTTGTAAGATTTATTCTTTATTATTTTAATAAATTTTTAAAAAATAAAATATTAATAAGTTATTTTCCAACTTATTTTTTATGATATAACCAAATACTAGAAACTGTTTTTTAACTTATTTTTTTATTATATTACTAAATATCATAAAATAATTTACTTTCCTAAATTTTACTAAATATCATAAAATAATTTACTTTCCTGAATTTTACTTTTTAAAAATTTATTTTTAAAAAAAATTATTTTTCGACAAACAATCAAGTTTAAGATAAAAGATTTTGCTAACTTCTTTTTTTCCAAGGAACGGGTGCTTATTTAATGAAGTAATAAAAAATTACCTTTCCAACAAGTAGTAGAATTAGGCATTTATGACATTGATGATCTGGCTCAATGAATCCAGTTCGTCAAAATTCTTATGATCATTGTACAGAAAGAACAAGACTGTCACATATAATTCTAATCAAATCTCTAAAAGCCATCGACAAATGATTAATTACAAAACGACCTTGAGATACTTCAACACGGAATGCACATTAAAAATCTAAAAGAAATAAGAAAAAAAAAGATTAGGATAAGAAAAAATTCCATCCGATTTGGCCTCATCGAGGAATAGAAGAATTACAAGCTAAAAGGGGAATCAATTCTTTTGACAGTTGATATAAACCAGCAGTTTAGCAGCCCTCAAAAAGTGCAAAACGCAACCGCTGAAGGGCATAATTCAAGTAGAATATAGATTTTAGATGCTCCTGAGATAAAGAAGATAAGACAGAAGCTAGGGATTCTTTTTTGGGATGAATGTAGAAGGTTCTGATATGTTACGTTGTGGTGGATTATCTCAGTGTTAGAATAATGAAAGAACTTACTTCAGTATTTCAATTGAACATGCCTATTTGGCAGAGACTTACATAGGGTGGGGGAGGCTGCTGACAGGTTAGGGTTCTGTTCCTATCTAGCTTAAGAAGACAGGGTATGGTCAGGGATAGAAAATGACTTGTGAATGTGCATCCATTGTCTAGTCTGCACACATTTCATGCCAAAACATGCCTTCATACCACGGAAATGCGTTCATTACAACCTGTGAAAGAAGTGTCTTAATGTTTTATATTTCTCATGTTTGGCCTGTCTGAAGAAATCTTGCTGTGTTAGAATATAATGATGCGATCGAAGGTGCCTTCTCCTCGCTGTTGCCATCAATGCTATGGTCAATGATCTAAACTAGTAAGGTTGAATCGTTGATGATTCACCATTGGCTTTTCTTTTAGTATGGATTTAGCTATATTAGACAGAGATTTGTAATGTCAGAGGCGCAAGTTATAAGAGCATCATCATTTTACCATCCTTCTAGGTTCTTAGATCTTGCTACAGCTATAAGTTTGTTCTTGTCACAGCAGCTTAAGGAGATGGCTTTTGTTCTTCTTTAAATAGTTGTTCTGAGTTATTTTCTTACAGGACACCCTTCCATCTAAACTTGTTTTTATTTTAAATTAATTATGAAAAATTAATTTTGAATTATGACTCCAAGTTAAGCATAAATCATGTAAAACACACTCGGAATTAATGGTTTCATGTTAGGCTGATGATCTAAGATTTCACTCGGTGCTAAGAGGACTTATTTAACATTGCTAGCTTATAATTTTAGCTTATAACCTAAAATTCAGTTTTAGAAAACATAAAAACTCAATAAAAATAAAATAAAATCTTCAAGATATGGATCAATTATCTAAAACAGGAAATTAAAAAAAAAAACCCTGAAAAAAATCAATCATAAAATTTTAAAACTACGGAAAATACCACCGGTATTAGTTTTTGATTTTTTATCCAATAATTTTTACTTATAATTCTTTAAAAAAAACAAGTTTCTTTTAGAAGATAAAAAAATAATTAAAAACTTAAAAGGGTACCACCAAAACAACTCGTAAAAAAAGGAGAAAAACAGAAAACACTCGTAACGAAGCCCAAAGTCACTAGCATTCTATGGCCTAATAATAGGTCCTGTCCGAATCCGCAGAACCTCATAAGACCCAATAGCTTTTACCAGCTCGGAACCAATCCGTAAAGCCAAATCCAAACCCTAAATGGGACGGCCCAAGATATTCTACAAAACTAAGTATATAAAAGGAAAAAAACCCTAACCCCTTGTCATTTCTGCATCTTCCTTAGCTCTCTCTTTGCTTTCACGGTCGCACACACCGCACGAACCGAACATGGTGAGCTTCTTCTCTCTTTCTCTTCAACTCTGCGACTCTCTCATGTCTCTCTTAATCTGACGGCAATTACTTCGTGTTTGTGATTCGGTCTGTAGCCTTTCAAGAGATACGTGGAGATCGGGAGGGTAGCTCTTGTCAACTATGGAAAAGAATACGGCAGGCTCGTTGTCATCGTCGATGTCATCGACCAGAACCGCGTACGTCTCTCTCTTTCTCTCTCATGTTTCTTAACTAATGCTTACTGCTTCTTTTGCTTCTATTTTTCCTGTTATTTTTTTTGGTCATGAAGAAACGATATAGAAATCGAAAATCGAGAAGCGTTTTGCTAGACTCATTCGAAAGGCATTTTTTTAAGGCCTAAGGAATCGAACATGGCATTAAAGAATACCCATTAAAAATTAGAGTTTGAAATGCATAACGGCATTGTAATAATTTTTTTAATGTATGCTGTTACTTCGTCTGTGCGTGATTGTTCTGTTTCTTGTAAGCGTTAGAGTTTGAATTTCTATGGAGCGTAGGATGTTTAAGATTAATGTAGATGGTCCAAGGAAAGCAGTGTTATGTATGTAATTTTTATTCAGAAGTTTACGTCTTTGACGGTGTTTAGTATTCATGAAATTGTTTAGGATGTGTGTTTAGTTTTTGACAAATGTCTTTTGGTTCTGTGATTTTTTGTTCAGACGTCGGATTGGTCACCTAACATTGATTGCAATTGTATGTCTTTTATTTACAGGCTCTAGTTGATGCCCCGGATATGGTGAGGAGCCAAATGAACTTCAAGAGGCTTTCACTTACCGATATTAAGATTGAGATCAACCGGGTTCCAAAGAAGAAGGCTTTGATTGAAGCTATGGAGAAGGCTGGTATGGACAATAATTTTGCTGAAATTTGAGGGTCATGTGTGCTCTTAATACCTACTATTCATTGAATTGTGTTGTTTCTGTGATGATAGATGTTAAGAACAAGTGGGAGAAAAGCTCCTGGGGCAGAAGGCTGATTGTCCAGCAGAGAAGGGCAGCTCTCAATGACTTTGATAGGTTCAAGTTGATGTTGGCTAAGATCAAGGTTGGTGATGGTGCTTTAAATGATTGTTTCTTGAAATATCACAATGCTTTACTTTCCAAATCGATTCTCCTAGCTTAATTTTACTAGGTTTGAATTATATTAAGAACTTCTGATTCTATTGTTTGATATTAAGTTCTTTGTTCACTTTGGATAAATTTATTGTCGTTGGCTCTGTGCTTTCAGCTTCTTTTGCATGATTTTGTAATAATGTTTATTGTCGTTGGCTCTGTGCTTTCAGCAAAGTTCTTTTTCATGATTTTGTAATTTCGATACTTTCTTTCTTTCTGAATCAAATATAATCTTGTTATATGCACTTGCAGAGGGGTGGATTGATCAGGCAAGAACTTGCAAAGTTGAAGAAAGAAAATGCTGCTTAAGAGTTACCTGTTTAGAGACTTCAAATTTTGTTATCAATATGATACCAAGTTTTACCGGGATGTTTTTCAGTTGGTTTCCTGTTGACTCCCAGATTAAGAGCAGTTTCTATACATTTAAGATTTTGTGGTCAATTTTATCATGCTACCTTATTTATATTTTGTGATCTTCTTGCTATTTTTTTTTTTGCTTTGAAAATTGTGGGTTCTCCTCAAGTCACTATTACTTGGCCAGCATTAAGTTGTCACGATTTACTTGCATTCTGCATTGTGCTGCTACTTAATGGATCAAAAAACACATTATGCCGGTACCCTTCATCGATCAAAAACATCCCGCTCTATTTATTTGTTATTAAATATGATTTCTATCAAGTGCACTGTTAATTTTATAACCTTTGGTTATTTTTGTTATCAATTTTCTATTGGACTAGTTCATTATATCACCCATGCATTGGTAAAAAAAATTTCAGTTTCACCCTTGTGTTTTTATGTTTAATCTCGATGCGTGTTATCTGAGTTTTATCAAGATCATCTAACAGATGGTCTCATAAAATATCAATAGCATCTAAATGTTCCAAATGTCGATTCCCCAATCAGCCTCTTCCCATTTTCAAGCTTGACTGCGTTTGGTTTATCTGAAATTATGGCTCTTACTACTCGAACAGTACTATCACCTCGAAATTATGGCTCCTGCTAGTTGAACATTTCAATCTCACTCTTTATGCTTAATTTTATCAGGAGATCGACGCATCTTCATAACAGCAAAGGCTGTTGTGTTAATTTTACATGTTGAAATAATCTCCAGTATCGTTGGGTGATTACTTAAGTACATTATCAGACCCCTCAGATTCAGCAATATTTTCGCCATCACCAGTTTGTGCAGCAATAAAATCAGATGCAGCAGAATCAACAATGGAATGTGTTGTCTCCCGACTAGTTTTCTTGTGACCATGAGGATTTCCGAGCATTCGATCCTTAAGATTAGCTAGGATCCTTTTCAAAGAACACCATGATCCATAACTTCAGCCCGTTTGAAAACCCTTGAATCCGTGGTTTTAAAAAAATTAATTTTTTTAAAAAATTTTATATGTTTTTAGTATTTTTAAATCATTTTAATATGTTGATATCAAAAATAATTTTTAAAAATAAAATAAAAATTATCTTAATATATTTTTAAATAAAAAACTCTTCCACTTGAACTAAACTTTCTGTCACTTTTGGCGAGACCTTCAGATGCATTTACATGGCGGAAGATCATTGATCTTTGAACTAGCTGGGAAAAAAATGCATTTTTACTGAATACAATAGCATCAGATGAAAATTAATGTAATATAAGCCGACATTGTGTAATATAAGCCTGCACAAGGAAGTAATATGGGATCCTGTTCATCTAGGTTTAGTTCTGTTGACCTGCCTGCCATTCCCTGTTATCTTTCTTCCTTTACTTTTAAAACCAAAGTAATTATATTCATTAACAAGCCCAAAAACATATAAGGCCTGGATCAACCTACACAGTCCATGGATAGCTTTTATACAGAAATATAAGAATGCTCAGCCCAAAAATCACATTCAAACCCACAATTTTATTTTTTTTGTTTTAAAAGTGTTATTTTTAATAAATTTTAAAAAATAAAAAAATATTATTTTAATATATTACAGAAAAAAAACTAATTTAAAAAATAATTTCTACCATAACATTAAAGAAAATAAAAACAGAGGAAGGCATTATCAAAAGGAGAAATCTTTGAATTCATCGTCATCCTTACCCGTTTATGTTTTCAAAAGCGTTATCATATCATAATTTAATATTTTCATATACTAGAAAATGGTCGCAAACTTGAAGCCAAATGATGCTTTGATGTGTATGTTACCACTTCTATTTTCTTAAGCCAACGTCATTTATGACAAGAAGAAGATTCATTCAGCAATAAATTATAATTTAAAGTCTTTTTATTTTCCCTAATTCATAAAAATATAATGAATATCAATCCTTATAAAGATGAATGAAGATTTTTCCAAATATATATGACATGAAAAAAATATTATTATTGGTAAAATATTTAGGAGTTGTTTGGAATTGTGGTGTATGAGTAGTTTTTAAAATAAATTTTTGCTCTAAAATATATTAAAATAATTTTTTTAATTTTTAATATCAATACATTAAAATTATAAAAAAAATATTAAATTAATATTTTTAAATAAAAAATACTTTTTAAAAAATATTAAAAAAAACATAAGCTGAAGTTATGCGGTTTACCCATTGTTCTGACCGTCGAAGACGATTGCCGGCAAGCAGAGGCACGAATTGCCTTATTTTACCAATAGGTTAGGTCGCTCAAGACAAGATTGTTTTTTGCCATTTCCTTCATCACTTGCTTAATATTTCAAAATGAAATTGTTTTATCTTTTTTTTTAAATAAATAAGGCTATTTGAACAAAATAAATTATAAATTTAACATAATGTTATTTTAAATCTTTTTTTTTTCAAAAAAAAAAACTTGAAACCAATTCAGTTATGTATATCCCCTGAGGTTTTGATCATACTAGCTAAATTATTGAAATTTAAATAGTTAATAGTTTGAAAATAAATATAACTCGAAATAAGTATTTAATCAGAGAGTGCCAAACGAATTTGATGACCATTTATGATAAAACTGAACAAGAGTCGCACATGTGACTATTATTATGTGTTCAACAAGGCATTTAACGAAAATGGCAGAAAGTAGAAACCGACTGTAATAAGCCTTAATTTTCTTCAACAGATAAAATAAAAACCCTTAAATTTCCCATTTAATACAGTGACCAACAAAGAGCACTTCTTGATAATAGTCTTTTAAACCTTGAGACCTTAGATTGACTTCAAACTTCTCTTTTGATTCATTTTCAAAGCATACACCAAAGCTTTCTTCTGCCAAGCACGACTGGCTCCTTCCCTTCCTCTACCCCTCTCCCCAACCCCGCTTCCCTCTTTCTTGTAATTTTCCAAAACCATTCCCTTTTGATTTGCTTATAGTATACGTGTATATATCTTGGCCTTCAAATACTACGTGTTCAAGGGTATGCATAAAGCAGTCTCTATCATCAGTTTTCCAGGGAGAAACATGGGACTCAAAGATCTTCATCGAAAGCTCAAGGTATGCCTACAGGTTTCATGGTGGTCTATTCGTAATTCTTGACGTTCAAAAGGTAGTGAGAAGTGAACAGCGGAATTGAATTCTTGATTGCTTTTAAGTTTTTATACGTCCAACATGCTGTGTATGGTTCTCATCTTGATTCATTTTTCACTTTCTGAGGATCATATTCAACTGGGCAGGGTAGTCTTCTTATCTCGAGTTCTTGAACAATCAGATTAAGATCGAGTTGATCATTTTTATTGTGTTTATGGCTACAATTCTACAAGAAATCAGTATCAAACAATAAAAACGATTCAGGAACTGCTATGATCATAATCCTTAAATATTTGCTTGTATAACAATGATTCATGTATTTCTACGATTTTGAAACTGTCAAGGAAAGGCCCTGTGAAGTTCAAAAGCAATTTTTTGGTACTGGGAGACTTGAGATTTTGGAGTTTGCCATTGAAAGTCAAGTTGTGTGGAATGGTCGTTTCATTAACGCGCTTGTTAAAATTTCAGGCATTTCGGCTAAAACGCTCTCTTATTGGAAATTGGCGCAAGAAAAGAACGGCTAGCATGGCAAAGAAGGCTTCATGGATGATGCCAATAACGCATGGATATCATGTCGTGGAGGATCAGTCGTTTAAAGGTGGTGCAGTTGAGTCAGACTCTGACTCTGTAGTGGTTCAAAGAGAGCAAATAGCGGAGCTGGAGTTATGGTATTTCGGAATTTCCGATGCACAAATTGGACATGGAGTCAGCAACTATCTGCAATCTCACCTGTTTTATAGGAACCCCAGCGAGGTAATCAAGATGACATCCAATGCTTGCTCATTCTCATGCTTTCTTTCATGCGCACAAATATCATAGTACGACAAAATGACGAGTAACACTGAAAAAAAGTTGTGATCACTGACTTGGAAATTATGCTAATGCATTGACCTTCACAGCTGAAATCATGCCCAAATGAAAAGGTGCAGGTCATTTAGCTGTGCAGTAGCATACAAGGCAAAAAAGCATGGAAACTTCTCGTTTACAATTTTGTTACTGAAGAAAGTCAACTAATGAACCTGCAAGCAGAACCATTATGCATGTAACTGTGATCATTAAAGAACATTTAAGATGTACTTGTTTCACTTTCAAGTCTTTGTCTATAGCTATGTGACATTACAAGATGGCTTGCAGTCTCAGATAACGACAAAGAGCAAGGAGATGATGAGAAAAGCGTTTCTTGCTGCAAGAGCAAAGATCAGGGAGACACAGAAGCCAGTTGAGGCATTGAAAGCAGGCGCGGCATCTGTTATGGTGATCAACAGAGAGAAGCTTGTGACAGCTAACATGGGTGACTTCAGAGTTGTAGTGTGCAGAGACGGCGTGGCTCATCAGATGAAAAGCAAGCACCAGCAAACAGCCAGAAGGCATTGGTCTCGCAGGCTCTTTTCCGGTACGGAGCACTCCTTACTCCAGTCTTTTTCCAACTAAAGTGGATGTATATGCTATTAAATTCTGATCAGACAGCGTAACCCAAACGTTTTTAAGAATTTCTTTAAAAAAAAAGTACAACGCCTGATAGGATCAACGATATTTGCTGGAGTGATGCGGAAAACTTTAATAAGCTGCGCACTCTACATTGTTTCACCTGAAAGTTACAGAAGGGTTTTTGGTCATCCAGAAAAAAAATTAAAAAAAAACGGAAAATTAATGACATGGGCGTCTACATGCAATAGAAAAGCAATCTAACAGTTATATATATACCTCCGTGATCTGATACCCGGTGCTATTTTGTTCATCCAGGACGCATGTTATCGTGGAAATCCAGCGATGCAGCAAGCACCAAGAAATCGAAAGGCTCCGAGCTTGCTGTTAGCGCTGAAAGGATTGACTCTGATACTGAGTTTGTCATCATAGCAAGCACAGGCATATGGGAGGTTAGATACATCTAATTACCGTCACATACACTCCATCTGCCCTAATAATTATCGTACAATTAGAGACATTCGCTTAACTTTGATATTTATCCAGACTATGAATAATCAAGAAGCAGTGCATCTCATCGGGCACTTGGAGGATCCCCAAGAGGCTGCCGAGTGCTTGGCGAAGGAGGCTTTAACTAGAATGAGCAAAAGCAACATTTCATGCATTGTTATTCGCTTTGATTAAAACATGTGTTTTCTCCAGAATCTTGATCTGGCAGGCACATATGCAGCGCGAACTCTTGGAAGCAATAGGAAAATAAAAAATTTTCAATGATAGAAAATCACCGTTTCAGCTTTGTATGATAACACAATAGGCTCCTTGTCATTTTCCATTCGACATGGCAGAAGCATGCGATTGACAGTTGTAATTTATAATTTCACTATCGAAGAATTTATACTTCGAAGTTTTTTTTTTTTTTCAGCTAAAATGTGACAACATTAGATTTCCACTTTGATTCAGTTAAGGAAAATTTTAACTTTACTAACAAAAGTAGCCAGATGCCAACAGTAAGCAGATTCCACAGAAGTTTTGGTGCTAGTGCCTATAGCAACAAGTGATTGGATACATATTCCCGCATTGCTTCTTGGTGTACCTTAGTTTGGACAAGAAGTCTACAAAATCCTAGATGGAGCCATTTCCTCCCAAAACCTCCTCAGCTTTTGGGGAGATTCGTTTTGCTCTTTGTTGTGGCTTTTGCCTTACATTTGTGAAGATTCCAGGATATCTTATTCCAAGTAAGCCATGTCAAAGACCTCTAACAATCTATCAACACTGTCGTACTTTAATAAGAGTGGGAGAAACAAGTCAACAACCTAATGAATCAAAAGAAATTTAGAAATTGAATGTGAATGTACATTGACCGATATGCGTAATAAAACTAACATACCTTTCTTTCAATTACAAGACATGAAATCAACAAAGCACAAAAAAATGGTGCAAAACAAGACCAGCTTTCTGCTTTGGTACATCCACATATCAGCTATCAAGTAGTCAACTTCTTTTCACCTGTCTTACTTCGGAAGGGCGATAGCAATGAGAAGTGACGAGAAGCTGCAGCCAAGTTTTTTTATATCTTAGTGACACCTAAATCTATGAACAACAGAGCTATATGATGAGTTTGATGTGGGCATAGGAGAGAGCTTACTCTTTTGATTGGAGCCAGCAGTGAGGGTTTCATCTTGAGAGATAAGATTCTTCAATGTATGAACTGGTGCAACAACCAAAAATTGATAGTGATCTTGTGGAAAGTAAATATGATTAATCATGATTAAGGCTTGCACTTAAATTTATTTATCTGCATAAAACTCATCCTTGGAGTATTTAGTTATAACCATCATCATTGTACAGTCAATCAGTTAACACAGCCTGTGGACACAATTTGAATGATTTATAAATTCTACTGACAAGCCTCAGATAGTAAAATTAGACAGAGGGCACGCAAAATTTACAGTCACCTCTGTTTGCAAAGTATTTCTTTAAGATAAATGCTTTGCCGACCAAAAAATTAATCTTGATAAGGCACAGATGTTTAAAATGCACCAGTTCCTGTTCACGCATAAATTTTTAAAATGATTTCTGATATCAAAAAACAAAAATTGAAGTTGAGACGATGTTATTCTGTCTAGAAAAGAAATGAACTATGTTGGACGCATTAACAGCAAAAAGCTAATTAGTTTTGGTTCAAACTTTACCAATATCATGTGGAATATTCTTTCAAACTAGACTTAGCTGAAAGAATTTTATGACACCATTTGCTCACTAAATGTTTCATGGATAGTCATATTCAGTGGAACCACTAAGCAGTCCAAGGAACTTCGGGTTCAACTATTCACTAAAAGCAGGGGCAAAAGTATAGTTGCTCTTACCTTCACTGGAAGAGGCAGCATTATCATCTGTCTTGGACCCATTCAAACTGACATGATTTATTTCTGCACTACGTTCACCTGTAGTATGACTCTTTCTTCCAAACTTCAGCAATCGTCGAAACCCTTTTGATGATTCCTTTGTATGAGGCTTCTCCAATGCTTCAGGGATCTCTTCTAGTTTCAAGCTTTTTAAACCAGACACGTGAGCTTTAATGGTCTCTGCGCCTGCTGAATCTGTTATGCTTGATGGAGGTCCTTTGCCATATTCGGAATTTCCAGTACATGGATCTTCCAAAGATGAGACCCGAGCATAAGGGGCATGGTAGGGCTTCTCAACAATGGTGCTTGCAAGCTTTGGTGATTCCTTCTCTGAATGACTTGCATGTACAGATGCAGCCTGAGAACAGAAGATGATACATAACAAACATCAAATCATGAAACAGATTTCCAACGCGGCAAAAAAAAAAATGGTTTACTCATATCCAAGAGTGCAGAATTTACAACAATACAGAAGTTTGCGTTGCCATTCAGAGGCAAAATATTAGTCTATGTTCCTGATGAGAAGATTATCAGAAGCAGATTATCACATTGATTCTGGGACTTAGTAGAAATAATTACAGCAGCCAGGAGGTTTTAAGAAAAGAGATAAACTTAGATGAACCTTTGCTATAAGTTTCATTTATCAGTAAAGGAGGTTCATTACAATTCACAGGATTTCCATTGAGACATGAAAGGAGCTATTAACTGGTTGTGATGTATTGTATAATCCAGTAATAAAACATAACATAATAGATTTCAAAACTACATATCTGCTATAAGAACACTTCCAATCTTATACTACTATCTTCATTTCAAATGCACTGCGTTCTTAGTCCAAGTCTTAAATCTCCAAGATGAAATTACATGACAATTATTTTACATGTAACGCGCATTGATATACCAGTCAACCATTTCTAGTCACTTACCTCATGAAGCCCAGGGTGCTTTGGTAACTGGTGCTCAGTGTGTTTTCTACCAATCCCATCCATGGTAAGTGGTGAAACTGGTGCTCGAATAGCAGCATAATCCACCACAGTCTCTGTTTTCTCCCCTAATTTATAGTTATTAGAGTATCCATCTTGTACTTCTATTTTGTGCTCTGTTGTTTGTACATATGGAATGGAGGGCTTCTCACACTCGAGCACAACAACAGTCTTCTCAATTATTGGGTTGTCATCCTCATCACTATGATGTGAAATTTTGTTTCCATTCTGTTTCAGTTCAGTGCTCTCTGAAGTTGCAATGGCCTTGCTTTCGTGCATCTTCTGTGGAATTTCTTTTGCTGCTGAATTGCCAGGGGCAAAATCATGCCCTTTAGTGGTTTTGGTTTTCAGTTCTGGAAGAGATGCTGCCTTGCTTTTATCATGGTTCATGATGGCAGATATTTTCTTGCTCTCAGTCCCACTGGATAATTTTGGTTTCAGTACTGGTCCAGTTTTTCGTGGTTTAATTGAAGCATGATTACTGCTACTTACTTTTGGCTCTGATAATCTTCTAATCCTAGCCATCGATGCCTTTGAATCAGGTGTTACACCACTTTTGTTGTTCTTTGATTCAGACAATGACGATAATGACAGAGTTAATCTATTTCCAGCTGTGCTAGGTCCAGTGCTCAATTTGCTGGACCTAGAGACTTTCTGAGAATCACCCAATCCTGCGGAAACACTTTTGATGGAGAACCTTTGCAGAGGTGATGAGGATCCAGGCTCTGAATCACTGAATTTTGATCCTCTGTGAGAGCTTGGGGAAAGTTTTGTTGGCAATTGTTTTCTGGTTTGCTGCAATGCTGGCAGAGCTGTAGTGGAACTGCCTCTAGCAGCAATTCTCTTTTGTCTCTCTAATTTCAAAGCTTCGAGTCGTTTAATCTCTTCTTCTTCCTGAAAAAGAAAAGAAATTCCAAATCTGAGGATAACTCCTGATGAGCTAGCTAGTAAAATAGATAAATCATCCCCCATGGGAAGATAGAACTAACCCATGGTAGCACTGGCTGGAGCCTAGATCAGCACCCCACTTTGCTGAAAGTATTCAGACTTTCATTGTGGAGTTGAGTGCTCACTAAAAGGTCAAGGAAAAGTACCTTCTCTTTCTTCATTTTCTGGAGATCAGCTTTAAATGCTCTTAGCTTCTCAGCACGGGCTCTTGCTTCATCCAAAGGACTCAACTTTGAAGGCTTTCCTTTCCTTATTGGTCCTACTGTCTTCTTCCTATCTGAAGTATCTGGAATGAGTTTAGGTTTCCGGTACTTGTCTGACTTAGTAGAGCCTTGCCCAGTTACCACCTTATTTTTCTTATGTAGTGAGGCCTGCATATCATAATCTAAAGCAGGATCATAACCGATTGATCCGTTTTCTGTCCCACGTTCAGGCATCAAACTTAAATCATCTGGTTCATATTTGACTTGGCTTCCAACCCTGTTAGATAAGTTTTCTGTCTTCTGAGCGGTTGATGGGAACTCAGAATCCACATCAATAATGTTTCTTCCCTCAGTTACAACTTGATCTAGTGATGTTGACCGTAGTGAAACTACATATGAATCGTCATCCATATTGTTGGATGATCTCCTGTCCAGATCACCTTTTGCAGTCTCAAAATCATTAATAGCTAGTGGATCTGATGATGAACTTCTATAACCTGACTTGTTTTCTCGTCCATGAATTACAAAATCATCATTTGCATTCATCCTATACCGACCTCTCCCGCCATCTATATCCACAGACTGTAGATCCATTTGACCATTTACAAACCCTGTACCATCATTAGGCTGGCCCATTCTTCTTGATATCAACAATTCATCTTTTGATGCATTAGTCATGCGGGTCCAGTTTCCACTAATTTTCTGCATATCGGTCACATTCCCTTCTTGAATATCACCTGGATCTCGTCCATCAATAACTAAAGGATCATCACCCATTGTATTTTGTCGCCTTTTTGCTCAAACATTCTTTTCCATTGCAAACATGCCTTGATCAACAGCACGTTCAGCTTCATCAGCATCTTTTAGCAAATAATTTTGAAATGCTTTCCAGTGTTCACCATCATCCTCCTTCCCATAAGATGTTCTAGCCACATCTGATGAGTTCAGTTTATCCACAGATTTTTTATGGCTTCCCTTCCTTTTTGAGGATCTCAGAGAGTTCCTATGCTTGGCATTCGGAGTGGTGTTCAATAAAACTTCATCTTCCTCGTCATTTTCAGAACCAGAAGCTGATTGAGATTCACTACCAGATGCCTCCTGTCTCTTTGAAGTAATGTAGTTGATGTTCCGAATAACAACTGTACCTGATTGTCTTTTACCTGAACGACTTCCCTTCCTCCTCCGAGGTTCTCGACCTCCTGAAGTTTCCTTCTCTTCTGTCTCATCCTGAGATCTTGTTCTCAAAGCATCCACTTCCCAAGCTTCAGGTTCAGTATTGCTATCCATCGAATGCCTTCTGTGACTCATTCTTTGACCAGCATTGATTCTAGCATCCTCCCCTGATGAATATGGTGGCTGAAAAACCGGGCTATTTCCTG